GCCTCCAATAACCGTTTGCTTCTTTAAATTAAATTAAAATATAAGGATGGTCAAAGTTTTCTTCACTGTTAGAGGCTAGCCTTTAGGTTAATAGTTGCAGCTGTGAAAGTCGTTGTTAGAGACGAGAATTTATAATGTAGCATTTGTAATTTGAGATAGTACAGACGTCATTGGATTATATTACTTCTTTATCCAACTACTTTGGCCAGAATTATTTTTGGCTCCCTTGATTTCAGTAATCCTAGATCAAAGAATTCCAACAACGGTGTCCAGCAGCGTTTTCCAATGCGCGTGCGTGATGCTGCCTTTATTGCTATCTGAAATCCAATCTGTCACACTGTCCTAGTTTCCGCTTACCAGTTAAAATCCATTGAAGTTGCAGGCGTTCTCCCACAGATGACACGCAAAACGCTCTGTTATTGCTCAGATTTAATTTCACAAATCAAAGTAGAGCCGACAGCAACACGTGCAACGGTCCATTAAAATAGGAAGATGATTTTCATTCTACGCATCTGAGCTCCAGCTATTGCTTGATTGCCATAATCAAAAATCTTTATCAGTTATAAACAAAACAGTACTGTAGGAAACGGGGCTATCTGGCGTCCATTTTCTTACCTTTGTCCGGACAACGGGACTTCACCCTCAAAAACGGGACAATCCCGTTAAAAAAGGGACGTTTGGTCACCCTATGCTGGCCTACCCGTTGCCCGGGCGGTACCGAAACACGTAGATTCAAAGAACTCAGTTAATCTCCTTACTACATCTTCTCTGTTATGAGTCTCACTTATTTCTCAGCTGGTTACTCGTAATCTCTTATATGCTTTTCATGGAGCATGTTATAACCTTCCTAAATGACGATTTTGGAAGAAATTATGACGACGGATTCACAGTGAATAGGTATTTATTGAGAAACTAGCACACACTGAAGTGTATTTTCCATTTTCCCATAATGAACTGGATAATTTTTGTAATACTAGATCAACGCGCTCCTTTCGGAGCGCTTTCTCTAATCTGATATTTTAGTTCTTTACGTCGCTGTTCAGAGGCCAACTGTTCTTGGTCAGTCAACTTTCTACATCCAACCCCACCCTTACAAATCTTCGATGTATGATTCGATAGAGACGTATTGTTTTGTTAAAATACGAGGCGCGTCCTCAAAGTAAGTTTCCCACTCGTCCCACAGCTAGCAAACCTTATATTGCGCGAAGCGACTGTGCGTACGTGATAGAGCAATGACGTAGCATGGCGCATGCACTAAAGGCACTTCCCGCGTTCTCACAGTAGCATCGTTGCAGCTGTTGAAGATGGAGGTTCTTATTCCAGCCCCCGCCGACTGTGAAGTGCGGTCAGTGATAACGCTAGGCCGCACACGGCTCAACGGACAGCGAGTCTCCTGCAGGAGTTCAGCTGGGAGGTGTTTAATCATCCACCCTACAGCCCGGACCTCGCTCCCAGTGATTTCCATCTTTTCCTACACCTCAAGACAGGGATTCCAAAGTTGGTCCCACGGTATGACAAATGTCTCAATTCCGGTGGCGAATATGTTGAAAAATAGCTGGACACTTGCTGTATCTGTTGCAATAAATATTTCCATGAAATTGTGTTTTGTTTCTGTAAACGGCCCCAGGGAAACTTACTTTGAGGACGCGCCTCGTACTATGAGTAATAACGAAAGGGGATTGTTGAAGGCAATATACCAACACAACAATAAAGAGTAAACAAATGACGTAACGTTTTTTATTCTATGATTTCAAATAAGAAAAGTGTGACACTTTTACATTTGTCGATAAATTTTCTAGATTTCGTAATGTGATTATCGTCGAAGATAAGCCATTCATCGTTATAACGTCGCCATGCTTTAAAATGTCCGTCGTTTCCAGTACCGTTTAGTCTACAAATTCCAACCGCACTTTCCAATATTTTCCTTACATAAATTGTTTGTCTTGTCTCATTCTCATTATTTCAAATGTGCGTACTCCATTTATAGTCAATCTATTTATTTCCAAAATCATGTACTTTTGACGGTCACCAACAACAATTTCCTTCGTTCCACATACGTAGTGTTGTTGACATTCCGTACACGTTCCGTACAGATCTGTTTGTGTTTGATAGTCCAATAAGTTACTTTTACATGTTTAACATGTTCTACTCTTTCACTTTTAATTTCGTCAAGATTCATTTCAAGTTGTTGCTTTCGTTCGTTTCGTTTAATGTCATCTGTTCTCTGTTTTCATTCTCAAAATGAAGTGATCAATAGCTTTCCCATACAGGTTTACCTAGTGAGATTATAGGTTCACATGGCAGCAAATATGAAGATGGCTCTCTTCCGGGTTGTTGCACTATGTAGTCCAGCAGAAGTTAACCGACATCATTTCAGAAATACTTGCTCCCTCTGCTATTATACTCGCCCCTGTGATAACCTCAAATCTCACAAAATCTACATAGTACATTTCTGATATCTGACAGTTCTGTTTCCACTTAACTTATACATTTCCCTTATTGTCAATATTACAACACTGCCTCTAAATAGAAGAATCACAATAATCAACCCAACACCCTTTAAAATCCTTGTAGAAGCATGTCAATATGTTTGCAGTATGACATGATGTTACTCTTGCAGCAGAACGCCAGAATGAGATTTATAACATGTACTAAATCTGTGATGGTACACCTTCCTTGATATGTGACTAATAAGGGTCAGGTCGAAACCTCACATGAAATTTTGCTAGTCTACAGAGCCCAACTATTAATGATTGTACATAAAATTTCAGCTGCTGATACGTTGTGCAAGGGTGCGGAACAATTGCTAAAAATTCGAATGTACAGTTTAAATTTGCACCATCGCGCACGCATCTGACGGCAGTGCGCCTGGCAGTGGCACGGTATTCACTGGTACATTGCAGCGGAGAGTGTGGACTAGGCGCTGAGAAGGCAGCGAAAGACTAGTCTCCGAGGAGCTAGAGGCTTCTGTCTGCGCAAAACAAGCCAAGTTTGCGAACTAGATAAATGTGCAAATAAACCTTTAATTCGATGTTCGTGGTGCAAATTGAATACGTGCTTCAAACATTCTATTGTTCTTCGCATTTCTGTCACAATTATAGTGCATAATTTTGTACATTTAGTACGCGTTCTGCGAGCTCTGTTTGATACCTAATATAAAATATCATAGAGAAGTACCCGTCAAAAATGACGGGAAAATTTAAGTAGTACTTAAAACGTATTTTTATTGAAAAGTTTAACATCGCCCTGATGACGGAGGCAGTATGACCTCTGAAACGTTGGTTAACATCGACCAGACTACACAGCGCAATAACCCAGAAGACAGAAATCTTCAAGTCTAACAAAGCCTCATATAAAAATTAAAATCATTATCTATCTGCTTAATTGAAGAATATAGTACGATTTAATGTAGTAAAACATGTGATTTCCTGCGTTGTGTATTAGTACATGTACATAGTCGACCGTGGACGAGTGAAGTCTTTTGTTTCAGTGCACTGTTTTCACGAAGCACCGTATATAACATCTTCTTATTGGGTCTCGGGTTCGGGGTCTCGGGTTTGATTCCCGGCGGGGCCCGAATTTTTAACTTGTGTTGGGCAAGGCCGTGGTCTAGGCAACACGGAGTTTTCCTTCGTGGCATCCCAACAATTACTCCATTCACACACAGAAGAAGGCAATGGCAAACCACTTCTGGATCATCTGCCAAGAACGTATATGAACAGGTCCCAGTCCGAGAAGAGAAAAGGATGGAAGGATCCTGTTCATATGGACCTGTCGTCAGACAGAACACTAAATAAATAAATAGAAGGTTCCTATGTACGCACTTATTCATTAAACTACGCGTACTGTGCTAACTCGACTTGGCGGGACGGTGTGGGAATGTCGTTGACATACAGACTGAAGAGCACAGGGGAGACGAGTCCGCCCTGCGTAACTCGGCCCGCATGGCACGACGTGTGGACGTGGCCGACTGGAAGGACGTTTCGAATGTACGGCACGCAAGATAGGATGAGATGTTTTTCACCAGGTAGGACGGTTAGCTTGTAGAGGAGGCCTTCGATCCAAACCGCGTCGAAGGCTTTGGTCACGTTCAGGAAAACTGCGCCAGTTAGCCGCCTCTCGTCAAAGTTCCTGTTGACCCTTCCAACGAGGCAGGCCATCTGTGTCTGAGTCGAAACCCAAACTGCTCGTCACACAGCAGCCCAAGTCCGTTTACCTCGTGTAGGACCCTAGTCAATAGGATCCTCTCACAGAGCTTGCCGACCGTGTCAAGAAGATTGATGGGTCTGCTGGAAAAGGGCACCGTGGGGTCCTTCCCCGGTTTCAGTACGGACACCACGCAAGAGTGTTTCCATGCCGAGGGGAAGTGCTGCCTGCGGAGGACCGCGTTGAACACTTTCGTGAGAAAGGTTATCGCACGCCATGGAAGATGTCTCAGGACCCTGTTCGGTATACCGTTGGGGCCCGGAGCCTTGGTAACCTTCAGTCACTTCATGGCCTGAAGGACCTCCGAGGGACTGGTTAATTTCGGTTCACTTGCGGGGGCATACTCATATGCTCGTAAGCCTAGTTAACCATGTCAATAACAGCCGGGACCAACGGGTCGTCCACCGGCTGAATCTGGACCTCAAGCTTGTCGGCCAGGTCTTCCGGTTTATCGGAGTCTGAGGATGGAATAATATAATAAAAATACGAAGGACTCTTTTTCATGGAATTAGTATTAAAAACAGCATCCGCCCTTGAAGTGATTTTAGAAGTGTATGAACTACAAGACAGACTGACTGACACGTACCTTGCTGGAAGCTTCATAGTCCAACAGTACCAAGGGAATGACTATGATTATGATTATGATACATTTACATATGTTTATAAAATGATGTTCCTGGCTTGTCGCAGATATGAGAACTTTGTCTTTGTCACAATGCCTTCTGTTTCCTTCTGAGCCAAAGACAATTCTTCCAATCAGAATTATTTTAATTTGCAGATGCATAAAAGGGTAGTCTTTATAACTCCATGTATTTAATTTCACAACAATTCATACATACAAGAATAGTACATAGATAAAATTACAAATTTCCAAATATGTGTCTATTAAGACAAGTTGTAAAATTTAAGTGGATCGTGCAATAATTTTGACAGCACAGATGCACAGTCAAAGATTAAAACAGATATCATACTGGGATCCTGTAAAGGTTAAATTCATAAACACCAATCAATGGAAATTATAAAGTATATTAGTTACCTATAAACTTTCTTACAATTTTGTATAATTTTCCCTATAATATATACTGATTTGAATTCCAAATATTCTGTATACCTACAAATAGATAATACTAGATTTAGTAAAATTTTGTGTCACAGTACCACACATCTTCGAAAATCAAAGACGAGAATCGATGTCACTGTTTCAGGAAACAAATCTGTGTGAGTAGGCAGATCTTCTGCATGCTATGCCATTCCCCAAAATTCACCAATTTCAACAAAAGCCGCTGTTTCGTGTAACAAATCTGTGTGGGATGGCAGATGTTCTGGAAGCTGTTGTATTCCCCTAAATTCACAAGTGACATCAAAAATCACTGTTTCAGTAAACAATTTTGTGTGAGTAGGCAGATCTTCTGGATGCCGTACAATTCCCGAAATTTCACCAATATCATCAGAAGCTACTGTTTCAGGCAACAGATTAGGGAACAGATAATCGGGGGCAGATGTGTTCCTCCAGAAATCACACTCCTTATCCTGATGTCCTGATTGAGTCATAGATAGAGATTTTTCATCTTCACAAGTACCTTCCTGATTTTGCTTCATTTCGACTTCCGCTCGCGATTTGCGCGCGCGTTTTAAGACGACAGTCTCTTTATCCTGGTCCTCGAGATCAACATCCCCAAGTGGCGTTCTTCGCGACTGCAGTGATTTGCGTTTTCTGCAGATATTTGTAGTATTTTGAGGTTTCGATTCCGGGTAAGATGACGAGGCTTGTAAATCACAACTAGAAGCAAGAAGTTCCTGCACGGCTTGGCCTGTCTCATCAGCACTGTCTCTGGTACACGATGTCACGCGATTTTTCTCCGGCAGTTCCCTCAACAACACGTTCAGCTGCGGATTGATCTTGAGGCTGGAGACTCCAAGGGGTGATCTTCCAAGTACCTGTAATCAGACACACCGTGGTAAGAAATATGGATTAACCACAGGAAAGCCTACAAAGAAGCGTTCACTTAAAGCTGAATGCCATAGGAACAGTCAGGGACTACGTAAGAAGACTTCACTATTTCCATACATTTCACTTATGTAACCACCAATGTTAATCGATTAGTGCAGTCTACCAGAAGGTTGGGCATGGCAATGGTATGGAAGAGTCAGGAAGTTAGGTTCTCATCTTGAAATTTCTTAGTCTGTGATGCACATAACGTTATTAGGTGGCAAGATTTACGAGAACAAAGTTGCGATCACAGTCATTTTTAGGGGAGTACCGTACTGATCTGACAGTTTTATTCACATGAAACGTGGACCCACTCTTCCTTGCATGCAAAACATTTCAAGTATCTTCCCGTTAAGTGCGGTTTCAAATTAGATTCTTGGAGCTGAATGTGAGTGTTTTCAGTCGGCTCTGCTGTTACGGATTTGGTCCACGTCTCATTACAAGTAGCAATACTATTCAGGGAGAAGATGTCACGTATCTAGACGTAAGAAAGAGATTTTCTGTTCAGTTACATAGGAGCCTGTGTGTCAATTCTACAACAAATGAAACTCATTTTCATGTTTGCAACTACCATAATAGCCTGCATAAAGATTGTAAAACATTGAAACAGAATTGAAGAAACGTCTCTGTGTATTTTTACATACTTTGTGTGCTTGTTCCCGGATCAAAAATAAGAAAAAATGTTCCTATGAACATGGGGTCGCAAATGTTTCATTTTTGAAATAATAGTCAAAAATAATTTTCAATGTATGCCTTTATTGCCAAGTATAAGGACAGGGATGTTTCTTCATAACAGATGCTCAAAGGTTGTTCCTCCATTCCCCACACATGCACGAGCACGACGTACCCAAGATTGACCAATTCGCTCGTACACTCCAGGGTTTCCTCGAATCATCTGGCATGCATTCTGCACAGTTCCCATAGGTCGTCATTATTTTTTATGAATGTTGCATAAACGACGGACTTCAAGTGACCCCACAGATAAAAGTCCAATGGAGTCAGGTCCGGTGACCTCGGTGGCCATTCTACTGGGCCACCACGCCTAATCCATCGCTGAGTGTAATGTTCATTGAGATGATATCTGACGCGATGGGAGAAGTGTGCTGGGGCTCTGTCGTAAATAAACCACATTTGTCTTCTTGTATTCAGTGGTACATCTTCAAGGAGACGTGGCAAGTGTCTTCTTAAGAATCGCCGTTACCAAGGTCCTCTTAGACGCGATGGAAGCATGTGTGGACCATTGAGTATGTCCCCAACAATTCCTGGCCAAACGTTAATTGAAAATCTTTGCTGGAAGCTGGATTCACTTTGATATAAAATCAATTCATTGAAACTTATTTTTGGATATTATTTCGAAAATGAAACATCTGCACCAAATGTTCATGGAAATATTTTTTCTTATTTTTGATCCTCGGACAAGCACACGAAGTTCGTAAACGCACAATAATACAGAATGTATTTATCCCATTACGGGCCGATCCCTCGTCCAAGGAGTCCTACCGAATGTCTATAGATCAAGCCAACGAAAAGTTGGGACCCGCAGTGCTCAGGCACTTGAAGAACGGGTCGTTCCCATTATCCCCAGTATCCCAGCATTTATCCCATTATTTATGTAATTTTATGAATATTTCGAAATAAGAAACATCTTCATTTGAATGAACCATCTTTCTGGTCTCTGATGTCAAAGAAACCGGGCAGAATAAGACTGAATGTTTGGTTACCTCTGAAATATAAAGGTGTCTCTCGTTGTCCGGTAATGTGCCCCAGGCTGCCGACAGAGCCTTATTAAACTTACTCTTCGTTAAATCCGGGTAAAGCCAATGGTGGAGAGTACGAGATCGCTTGCAGAACAGCAATTTCGCGGCCTTCATAACGTCCTCATGCTTGTAGTCTGTCATGTTCCTCTTACAGTACTGCATATTACACACATGTTCAGTCATGTTACAATAAATTAACTGTGCACATGATCATATCTAGGAATATGGCCAAACACAGGCTGCTTTAATAGTGAAGTTTATTGTTTCGTAAGGAAAGACTTGTTCCAAGTTCCGGAGAATCTGACGTAAATACGTCTCTGTATTTAAATTATATTTAAGCAATAAATACAATGAAAGGAAGGTAACTGAATGTAATGTAATGTCAAAATTTTCTACACTACGATGCACTTCTTCTACAAGCGATTCACAGCTCAGCTCAGCTCTTTCTGCAATAACGAAAGCGGATTGTTGACGGCGGTAATGTAACACAACAATGCCGAGTAAACAGATAACGTTTCCTAGGTAACATAACAATTCACGCAAGCTGACCATTGTCGGTCTATATTTACACATTGTTGACACGGATCTTACACATTTTCGTTACACATTTTTGCCGAATGACCCTTCCGTATAGACGTATTTACGTCAACAATATTATACAATTATTTTACAAGTGTGATTTACTGCATATTAATTGTGTCAAAAATATATTGAACTCTGAAGAATACTTAAATCTATGTAACTATGATTAACTCTCTAATTATTGAAACTTATGTTATGGTTTAAAGTCTTATTTGCAAATTGAATTTTTTAGCTTAAGCACACTAACTACAAAATAGTTTTCAGTCCAGCACAATACAATTTTCGCCATCTTGGTGGTCTAGAAAGAATTAATGAATGCCACGTTTTTCTCGTTCCTTCATAACTTGACAAAAAAAGGAAGTATCTGAATTATATCTTTGGATACATACGGAGGTCTTCATACAGCTTATGAAATTCGGCTTTCAACAATCTTTGACTTACAAGTGGAGGGAACCAAAATTTATTTCTACGCTTTGACTTTGCTCTTAGTAAAAAGCGCGCACAGCTAGTCTCAAAAAGATCCATGCCTCGACTTATCAGCCTAGAGCACACGCCAACTGTGTCCATAAAAGACAGCTCTTAACTGAAAAGAAAATGCGTTTATTTCACCGTCCGTGTGCACAGGCAACTAGAATATGCGTTTGCGGTAGTTTTACCGCTGCTGCAGAAAAACCGCTCGTGCGCTCTAGCCCTTAAGAACTTTCTGCTCACTTTCTCACTTTCCAATTGTGATGGAAGTCTAGTTCGTCAGTAAAAAGTGAAGCATGCTGAGTTTACTTTCATGCGTGGTTTTCTCGGGTGTGTCTAAGATTAGGTCACTTATTAGAGAAATGTCCATGTCGTCCAGGCCAGTCACATTCTCAAGGGAGCCGAGTTCTTCTTCAGCCACAACCTTTGGCACTTGGTTCAGGAAACCTGAAAAAATATGTATCTTTCGAATTATTTTGGAAGTCCTCATGCCCCTGCAAGTAGACACAGAAGATGACCATCGGCAGTTCCGAAAGCGTTCTACAACCGTTAAGAGCATGTTTTAATGCCGACCAATGAAAACTGTTCAGAAAAACTTACGTACTATTGCTAGTTCCTGCGTAGGACATGGATGCCCGAGTTTGTGTGTGTGCGTACCTGTTTCACTTGGAGAAGTCGTTTCTGCATTCTTCTCGATTCTACTAAGAATGTCTTCCGTTTTCTGGTCGAGACTGACCCACTGTTGAAAACTCAAGTTAGGGAATGTGTAGTTTGAAGTGCCTTCTTCAGGAATAGAAAGCAGCACTTCCTTATGAATATCTTGATTTTCTGGTGTCGTGATGTTGGACGTGAACTCGTGACGTCTTGCTTTCTACAAATTTGAGACGTGTTAGTTAATGTACAAGACAATTCAATTCACACGAACACAGAAGAACTGCGAATTAAGTATCCGACATGCAGGTGCAGACAGAGAGGAAGAAATCTTTAAATATCTTATGTCAACTTCTGTGAGATCGAACTTCTCTTTACTCCAGCAGATATTTAGCTGAACTTAATTGAATTCCCGTTTTAGCGAAGTCTTGCTTCGGAAATGTTATATACTAAATACAATGGGTGAGTGGTTGGAATTTCTGCTACATATTTGAGAGTTTGTCTTTTCAAATTTTAGCCCTCAGACTGGCTATCCACACGTGTTTCTTGTGGTTGTCCTCAGTCCTAGCAGCAAAATGCCAGGTTAGTTCCTTAATTACGTCACTACTGCTTCTGTTCATATACTTCCAAATGAAATATTCATTAACCATCCTCAACATTTGACACTAGAAACTATGTGTTATTGAAAGCATTATTTTCAAGCCATAAATACACAAAATAGTTTCAGTTTATTGTTATTTGTGATATTTTTAATGAATCTTATGAAACATTTATTATTAACAGCTTTGTGAGATGAATGTGCTTTCGTAACAGTAGAAATATCTTGAAAAATAAGTTTCGGCCTAAATTAGATATCTCTTTCTTTGAACTGCCTTAGTGAAAATTATGAATTTGTGTCTGTTTAGTCCTGAGATCACGACTTTAGATATTGAAACCTCATTAAAGGAGCAATTACGCCTTAAGAATTTGGTGTGCACCAGGCTTAAAACAAAATTTAGCAGTTATTACTCTTTTCACGTTTCGGCCAATGAAGATGACTTTCCACTCATTAATACTGGAGTGTGGCCAAATGGTTGCATTATTGCTCCTTTCTACTCCTCGAGCACGCCTGTCAGGTCAACAGAGTCAGGCTGTGGGGCTCCTGTGCCTGGAGGCGGCTCCGATTCCCACTGATTATGGCTCTCGACTACGGCGATTTTGATATATTTCATCAAAATGTCAGGGGTCTAAGAACCAAATGCAGTCACTTCATTGACAATGTTTTCGCTATCACGTCCGGAATTTACTGCATTACGGAAACCTGGCTTAAT